CACTTGGCTCTGTCCCTCCGTCGGGGAAGCATGGGGCTTACTAGGCTGATCTGCGCCTTCTTGCTCGCAGCCTGCTGCTGCTGTCGCCGCGTCACGGGTGAGCTGTGTGTCCGTGTGTGTGTTGGGGGAGAAAGTGTGCGTGTGTGTGTGTTGGGGGAGAAACCGACCCGCATCCCTCAGGACCTGGGAGTTGGGAGATGTCTTCGACGGAGCCTGAGTGTGCCGGAAATCAGAGCTAGCAGCCAGGCAGAGGCCAGGGCTCTGTACCCCGGCGGGCGCTTCTAGTCAGAGTCCCCAATTCCCAGGCGCTCCGCTTGCGTGCAAGTTCTTTGCAGCGAATTTGCAGCCTAGGTTCTAGAGAATTCTGGTAACGGACCCAGCCAGGAGGCTGCAGCGGCGAGCGGGAAGGGGTGGGGCCGAGCCTCTGCAGGACTCTGGGGCCGGCCTCACGCAGGTGCTTGCTCTGGGTGCCCGCGACTGGAGCCGGGACAGAGGCGCGGCTGGGGCGCATCCTCAACCCGTGCATTCTGCGCCCGCCTGTTGCTGAAAAAGCTGTTTCCCTTGTTGGAGAGGGGGGGCGCCGACCCCTCCCCCTCCGCCTGGGCCTCAGGCCAGCTTGGAGGTGAGCGAGGGAGGAGGTGGCTTCTGCTCGGGCTGGGCGTTGGCAAGGGCAGCAGCGGGTATTGTGGTTCGCCTCGCGCCTCCCGACTTGACGGGATCACAGGGGACTAACGACGAATGGAGAAGTTCTACAATAGAAACAGTTTATGTTAGGGACTAGAGTCCGAATAGAGAGCGTCGGGGCACCTCGGAGCTTTTATTTGAGCCATCTGGGTCCGGGCTTCTCTTGCACATCCCGCAGCGGTGTCGCGTGTTATTCTTGGCTCCTTATCCCGTCCCAACCACTGGTCGGGCAGGGAAAGGGGAGGGCTGGGCATTACCCACTTCGTTGGCTTCTTGCCCAGTGCCAGCCTCGTCCCTGGGGTACTCCAGTCTAGTGCCTCCCAGGCTGACCTTATTTCTGGGGAAAGGGCTAAGCCAGCTAGGCAGTCAGCGCAGCAAACAGAGCCTCCCTCTGCCCTGCTTTCTGGCTCTCGGAAGAGTCAGATATCCAAGGTCCTGCTCTTGGGTGAAAACGACCCTACCTGCCTGTCCTCCAGTCTGGAAGCCACACAATCCAGGCATCCCAGTGACCAGCCAGATTGTGTCCAGTGACATCACTTTCCCAAAGGGCTGGTACCACTGGCGTCTCTTCTGCCCACTCTTTGGTCCTTGACCTAAGTCCTGTAGGGGATTCTGACCCCTCTATACTTGGATGGGGTCTTCAGATTGTATTGCAATATTCCTTGACATACTGCTTCTGGAGTATGAATTGTGGCCTCTGGCCAGAGTTGTCCCACCGTGTCTTCTAGAGGATTTGGGGGGCAGAGGGTAGAATAGTGACGTCTTCCCCGGGGAGGTGGGAACACAAAGGGGCCTGTTGTGCCCAAGCCTGGCACATGCCTTGCATTCTCATAGTCTGAGCTCACCAGGACTAGGAAGGGGCCCAGGAGCAAAGGGGCCTTCCTCTTGGCCCAAAGCCCATGTTCCCCTTATCTGCGTCTCCGCCAGTTTCTCTTGAGAGACACCCAGTCACTCTGTCTATGTTTCAGGCCATATTACACTGGGAGAGGTCTGATCCAGGTTGGGTTGTGGGCATTGTGAAGTTAAGGGTCAAGAGAGGTCAGGGCCCTCTCCAGACCCTTGGAGTGGAACAGCTGCAGTGAGCCAGGAGAGGAGAGGGGACAGGACAGGACAGAGCAGCTGGCTGACAAAGCAGCCTGGGCATGCGCCTCCCTTTTGCAGGTGTGCCAGGAGAGGACAAACAGCCTACACCCACACCAGACGTGGTGGAGGTGGAAGTGGGCCACACAGCCTACCTGAATTGTGGCCCCCCACGGCATTCCTCAGTCAACTTAACCCACGTGGACTGGTTTTTGGTGAGTGCCTGGGCTTCAGAGGGCCGTAGTAGGTGGGAAACACTGTCTCTTGGGTAGGTAACTCATCTCTCTGCTCCTTGCCCTCAGATTCACAAGGAGAGGCAGATACCCATTTTCCGTGTGCGCCAGGGCCGGGGCCAGAATGAACCTGGGGAATACGAGCACCGCCTTAGCCTCAAGGATTCGGGAGATGCTCTGGCCCTGAGTCAAGTCACTCCCCATGATGAGCGTGTGTTCCTCTGCAAGAGCAAGCGGCCACGGCTCCAGGACCACTACACTGAGCTTCAAGTCTACAGTGAGTGCCCCCTCCATTCCTGCCTTCTGGGTAGTGTGGACCATGTAAAGATGGGTTTCCATTTCTTGGTTTGTTTCCCTTCTGTTGTAGAAGCTCCGGAAGAGCCAACCATCCAGGCCAATGCCATGGGCATCCACGTGGACAGACAGGAGCTTAGGGAGGTGAGATACAGTAAGCCAAGTGATGGTGAACAGGGGTTAAGCTGGGGCAGAGGTGGTTGTCAGAAGCAAGGAGACTCCCATCCTGTCCTCTTTAGGTTGCTACCTGTGTGGGGAGGAATGGGTATCCCATTCCTCAAGTCATCTGGTACAAGAATGGTCGGCCCCTGCAAGAGGAGGAGAACCGTGAGTACTCCCTTACTGCTTAGGCTCTGGAGGACCACCTAGCGTGTTCTATTAGAAATTTTACCAAAACAAAAAGCCCATACAGGTAATGTGCTATTGAATAATTCAGACTATAGCTGAGAGTTGGCTCAGTTAAGAGCACTGGTTGCTCTTGCAGAGGATTCAGGTCAGTTCCGAGCATCCACATGATGGCTCACAACCACCCACAGCTCCAGTTCCAGGGGATTCGATGCCTTCTTTTGACCTCCGGGGCAAAAGGCATGCAAGTGGTACACATATACACATTCAGGCAAAACATTCATACACATAAAAAATCATTACAAAAATTTACCTTTTATGTATATTTTATGTATGAGTGACTCTAACTAAATGTATACCTGCAGGCCAGAAGAGGGCATCAGATCCTATTATAGATGGTTGTGAACCACCATGTGGTTGCTAGGACTTGAACTCAGAACCTCTAGAAAGTACAGCTAGTGCTCTTAATCCCTGAGCCATCTCTCCAGGCCCCACAATTTCTTTCTCTTTCTTTCTTTCTTTCTTTCTTTCTTTCTTTCTTTCTTTCTTTCTTCCTTCCTTCCTTCCTTCCTTCCTTCCTTCCTTCCTTCCTTCCTTCCTTTCTTCTTTGTTTTGTTTTTTTGTTTGTTTGCTTTTCGAGACAGGGTTTCTCTGTGTCGCTTTGGAGCCTGTCCTGGAACTAGCTCTATAGACTAGGCTGGCCTCAAACTCAACAGAGATCTGCCTGCCTCTGTCTCCCAAGTGCTGGAATTAAAGGCATGCGCCACTACCACCCAGCCACAAAAAAAAATTTTTTTGAAGAAAAATTTGGGCTATAAAAAAGCTAGGATTCCTTTCTGGCCGACTCCTCCCAGAAATGGCTTCTGCTGTCAACTGTCATTTTCTTTTGTTCCTATTTCTCTGTCCTTCACAATGTCTGCTGCGGTGTGGTTTGTGTCGTGTTTTGAGACAGGAACTCAAACAACTCAGGCTGGCTTTTGACTGCCTGTTGCCCAAGGGCTAGGATACCATGTATGTACCACCACCCCTGGCTCAAGGCTTCCTTTTTGTATTGATTTGGTTTGGTTTTTCAAGACATGGTTTCTCTGTGTAGTCCTGGCTGCCCTGCAACTCCTTTGTAGACCAAGCTGGCCTTGAACTCAAAACAATCTTTAGGAGACTTCTGCCTCCTGAGTGCTGGGATTAAAGGTGTGCACCACCACTGCCCAGCAAGGCTTGTGTTTTTTACTGTCTCAACCAAGGGTGATTTTGCATACATACCTATCTCGGGGAGACTTGGCAGTGTCTGGGGGCACAAACTCAGAGGCTGCTATTGGCATCTGGTAGGTAGAGGTCAAAAATATAGCTCAGCATCCTACAGCGCACAAGGTGGCCCCACCACAAAGAATTAATTCTGATCTGAAATATCAATAGTGCTGAGCCTGAGAAGCCCTGCCCTTCGTGGTAATGCGGCCACACATCCCTTTTTGTAATGTGTCCAGGTCAGTCTGATCAGATAGACCCATTTTGCCTCCTGCTGTCATACTGAATATGATGTGGTTATTACCCTTCTCCTGCTAGCACTTAATGTCTCACTTTTTCGTCACTTTGGACTTTTGTTTTGGATTCTGAGGCTTGAACCTAAGGTCTTACACATGCCAAGAACATGCACTACCACTAAGCCTTTTGCCTGACTCCATTTTCCTTTGTCTCTGGGGTGATCCTGGCACATACCCTTGTATATGTGCTAAGGTGTAAATGTTTTTTTTTAGGGTAGATAGCAAGTAATAAAAGTACTGGGTTGAAGAGGCACCAGTTTGTATTTGGCTATGGGCCCCTGCCTTAGAGCTCTCCCTGCTAATCCCCCGGAGAAGTTGGGCAGGGAGGGGTGCTGAGGCCAAGTCTTGCTTCCCTCTCCTGCCCAGGTGTTCAGATTCAGTCGTCACAGATTGTGGAGTCCAGTGGCTTGTACACCTTGCAGAGTGTTCTGAAGGCTCAGCTAGTTAAGGAGGACAAAGATGCCCAGTTTTACTGTGAACTCAACTACCGGTTGCCCAGTGGGAACCACATGAAGGAATCTCGGGAGGTCACTGTTCCTGTTTTCTGTAAGTCTTGATTTTTTTGCTCCTTTGGTTTTGGGGGATGGGCCTGGTAGGAACTTCTGCTGGTCCCTCTGCATCAAATTCAGGGCCAAGCCTTGGGCTGAGAGCCTTCGCTTTTGCCCACCAGACCCTGCAGAAAAAGTGTGGGTGGAAGTAGAGCCTATGGGACTGCTGAAGGAAGGGGATCATGTGAAAATCAGGTGTCTGACGGACGGCAACCCTCAGCCCGACTTCACTATCAACAAGCAGGTTCGGAGGGCGCCATGGTGGGTGCATGGAGGGTGTGCAAGGGCACAGGCAAAGAGGCAGATACAGCAGCTGGAGGGGTATCAGCTCACCCTCTTGTCCTCTCCCAGAACCCCAACACTGGGGAGACGGAGGAGGAAACCACCGATGAAAACGGTATCCTGATCTTGGAACCTGCACAGAGGCAACACAGTGGGCTCTACCAGTGTCACAGCCTGGACTTGGAAACTATGATCACCCTGTCAAGTGACCCCCAGGAGCTGCTCGTGAACTGTGAGGCACTAGGATGGAGGTTCAGCCTGAGGCTAGGGGGAACTGGTGGGCCTGCCCAGGCTGACACTTTTACTATGCCTCCAGATGTGTCTGATGTTCGAGTGAATCCACCTGCCCCTGAAGCCCAGGAAGGCGACAGCCTCACACTGACCTGTGAGGCAGGGAGTAACCAGGACCTTGAGTTCGAGTGGCTGAGAGACAAGGTACAGATGGCTTTGAGACTGTGGGTGAGAGCTTGCTCCTTCCGACCCCCCTGACCTACCTCTCACCCCTAGACAGGCCAGCTGCTGGGCAAGGGGCCTGACCTCCAGCTAAACAACGTGAAACGGGAAGCAGGGGGACAGTATCTCTGCATGGCATCTGTTCCTAGTGTTCCTGGCTTGAATCGCACACAGCTGGTCAGCGTGGGCATTTTTGGTGAGGCCCTTTGTATAGCAATCAACCCAAGTTGGATGGCTTTGAGATGTCGGAGGTCAAAAAAGTCAGCTGGCACTCCGAGAGGTGTGGTGGGAAAGTAGAAGCGAACGATTTGGGGGTCTAACCCTTTCCTCCCCCAAGGGTCCCCGTGGATGGCGTTAAAGGAGAGGAAGGTGTGGGTGCAGGAGAATGCAGTGCTGAACCTGTCTTGTGAGGCTTCAGGACATCCTCGGCCCACCATCTCCTGGAATGTCAACGGCTCGGTGAGAAGGCTTCATTTATCTTCCCCGTCCTCTTAATCCCTGCCTAGGCTTTGAGGCCATGGCCGGAGATCCTCCCACTCTGAGGATCCATTTCCTTCTAGGCAACTGAATGGAACCCAGATCCACAGACAACTGTGAGCACCCTCAATGTCCTTGTGACCCCAGAGCTGCTGGAGACAGGTGCAGAATGTACAGCCTCCAACTCCCTGGGCTCAAATACCACCGCCATCGTCCTGAATCTGGGTAAGAGCTGCCTCCCTGCCGAGGATGATGGGCATGCCCAGGCCAGGGCATTAACGTGCGCTTCTACTAACAAGCCCTCCCTCTACGTGCGCTTCTACTAACAAGCCCTCCCTCTGCCTCCTAGTCACTTTAACCACCCTCACACCCGACCTCCGCCAGACCACTGGCCTCGGCACCTCCACAGTCGGTCCTCACACCAGAGCCAACAGCACCTCCACAGGTAAGCCAGGCCTTTGCCAGGGTTCCCGCTCTGCCCTGTGGAGAAAACAGTAACAGCTCATCTGCCACCCTGGGCTGGGTAGGGTGGGGCAGCAACAGCGATGTGGCAGCCTGGGGCAGGGAGTGACTAGAAGTGTCTTTGACAGAGAAAAAGCTGCCACAGCCAGAGAGCAAAGGTGTGGTCATTGTGGCTGTGATCGTGTGTATCTTGGTCCTTGCTGTACTGGGTGCTACCCTCTATTTCTTCTACAAGAAGGGCAAACTGCCGTGTGGACGCTCAGGAAAACAAGAGATGTAAGCCAGGCTCACGGCCCTCAATCCCTCCCCATTTTTGGCTGCCCAGCTTGCTACCTCATAAGGGACCTCCACTACCTAGTGTCCACTTACCCTTGAGAACAGAAACTGGACCTTTTGTGCTGCCCACTGCCCAACGTCCATCCACCACACCTCCTCGGGTCCTCCCTTCCTGAGCTGGCCCCAAAGCACCAGAGAGCATAGAGTCTTCATCCCTAAAGGCTCTCCCTTCCCTTGTCCCCCAGTTGCCAACCTCTCACCTCCCTCCTCCCAGCACGCTGCCCCCGACTCGTAAGAGTGAATTTGTAGTTGAAGTTAAGTCAGATAAGCTCCCAGAAGAGATGGCTCTCCTACAGGGCAGCGCCGGTGACAAGAGGGCTCCAGGAGAACAGGTAGGAGGCAGCTCCTGAGGCCAGGGCCTGACCCCCCTTTCAGGAATCGGGGTAGTGGGCTGATGGTACTTGTTCCCGAACATTAACTCTTTCTGTCTTTCCTCTTTGGTTGGAGATGGGGAGCAGGCCCATCCTGCCTTACATTACTGATGATGGCAGGACGAGGTCCGTGGTGGAGGGACCCTGGAGAAAGATAGCAAAGCCCCACCCTATATTCTGCTAAAAGTATAGCCTCTTTCCCCACTGCAGATACTTAGTTGGGGGACATCTATCTTTTCTTGTCCCCTTCCCCCTATTTCTGCTGCTTGCCTCAAGGCTGTTGCAAATTCATCAGCTTTTGCTTCAGTCCCTCCTTTTGGTGTCCATGCCGTGAACCCTATGGTTCTTCATGTTCTGGTTGTTTCTCTTCCCTTTCAGGGAGAGAAATACATCGATCTGAGGCATTAGCTGACTCACCAATGTTTCCGGCTCAGTCTTCACCCCAAGCTAAAGGGACAGCAGGGACGACTCCCACTCAGGTTCAGAGACCAGGTCCAGAGGGCCAAGAATTGGGACAAGCGCCATTTGGAGGATCTCATTTGGCCATGGAGGCCTTGCTATAGAGACCAAGTCCTCCTTTGTGTCCACTGAGTAATGCTTATCCCAAGTGACTGGGAGCCTCAGTCTCCCAGGAATGGGGTTTTGTGTGTGTCCCCCACCCCTCCTGCTTTTCCCAAATGGATTTTTTCTGTGCACAGCCAAAGGTCGCATATCCACCTTCTGCCATCAGCTGTGTGGGCCTGTCCCTCTGAGCAGGTGTTCTCCCCTCACAGGCTGTATCACATGATATGGAACCTGGACACGTGGTCACATACACTGTTCACACTGCTCCTCAAGAGAGGCCCACAGTCCAGAGGCAGCTGCAGCACTGCTTCTCTGCCTGCCTGCCTGCTGCTCTTTCAGGGTCTTTTGGGGTCTTTTCCCTTTGGGCAGAAGACAGGGATTGGTGGTAATCCTTCAGTGCGTGAGGAAGGAAGCTCGGCACTGTTGTTTGTTTTGGAGTGAAAGCTGTTTACTGAGCCTGAGCTTCCTGCTCCCTCAGTGGATAATGGGAGACTGAAAGAGAAGCCATGGGACAGAGAGGAGGTCTACTGGGATGGGGATTAAGCTCATAGGTAGATTAGTACCAAATTTCTACGTGTGAGTTTATGGGCCCAGATCCCAGGAGAGTCTGTGGGACAATGGTACTTAAGAGATGAAAACCTGGCCTGGGCAAGAGCTATTGGAGTATGTGTGCATCTATGAGTGTGTGTGTACATACATAAATATATATATATATATATGGTTTTGTCTGTAAATTTGCAAATTGTTTCCTTTTATATATTATGTGTTAGAAAAATAAAGTGTTATTGTCCCAAAAGCTTGACGCACTTCCCATTCATCACGGATGACAGACCTGGAGCTTCCAGAATCACAGGTGTCCTCACAGAAGTGACAGGCTCTCAGAAGACTGTCCCTTTACCTCCAGAGCATCCAGGGCTGAGCAGCATTGGCTGAGCAGCATGCTGCTCAATGCTGACAGCTATGTCCCTGTTGTGTACCCCATCACTTGTACCACTGCCATTGGTCTCAAAGCTGCCCTGTGTATTAACCCCCAACCCCAGGTGAGACAGAACTCAAGTGTGCTACAACAAAAGAAATTTTATTTAAAAATATTTTTTACAGACATGGGTGTTTGAAAAAGCTCTTTAGTTAACTGTATGGAAATGAAAAAATTAATAAATAACATTAGTATAACAGACCTCTACACATCAGTACACTGGCAAAACAACATGGACTTGAGAGAACGAGTCTTAAAGCTCGGCCACTCTGCAGGAGTATTTACCTCTGTCTGCTCTTTAGAGGAGATTAAATACTGCTAATAGAAATCTTTTTATATTAATGACATTTTAAAAATAGTCCACAAGAATCTCACCTAAGTGTGTTTTGTTTTCTTAACACTGATATACAAATTGGGACTCTATTCTGGGGAAAATATTAAGTTCTCTCTTGCCCCACCCAAGTCAAGAATTTTAAAATCTTGACTGAGGAGGACCTTAAAAAGAACTGTTTCTATCCCCCACTCTTTGTTAGCTACAGGCAGGGGAAATACAGGAAAAAAGGAGGGTAAGAAAACTGTGGTTGAAACCTCTGACAGTGAATGACAGGCTTCTGGGTTCCATGGCCTTTCCCTGGGGGCAAGCAGACCCTGAAGGGCATCAGCCACTTAATGCTTTAAGGTTGAAGTCTTCAAATGAAAGGAAAGCCAAGTCTGAGGAGAGGCAGGAGGTTGAAGCTGGCTCAAGATCCAGCAAAACGAAAAGACAACAAATGAACCATCTCCCCTTCAGGAGGGTCGCCCTCAGCTCCATGCGGCAGGGAACTCTTCCAGGAGGCTGCGGGAGCAGGACATCAGGAGCAGTGGAGCGCTAACCGCTGCCTGGAACCAACCAAGCGATGCCAGATAAAATGCTGCTCTTTTCCAAAGAAGCCTCGTGGCAGAGAAAGGAGACTATAGATAGCTATGTGTCACCTCTCCAGCCAGATAGCCTTGTCCCCAAAACTAGGGCTAAAGAGATTCCAGGTAGAGGAGCTCAGACTCTGGTATTTCCATATTAAGTCCTAAAATGCAGCCTGGGATACAGCGCTGCCTTAGAAAGGCACAAAACATTTGGCTTTTTTTTTCAGTGTGCTAAAAATTGTTTTGTTTTGAATAAAGGAAAAAGATATATAAGGTTAAAAATACCAAGTCACCACAGCCAGAAAGCAGATGGAGGAGGTACCTCACAGCTGCCATGCCCAGCACCTCTCAGCAGAGGTCAGACTTCCCACTTAAGGGTGCTGACTAGGAGGTCAGGAGGCGGCTCCTCTCTGTGCACTGCAGGGCGGGCTCACTAGCCCAGACAGGAGGGGAGAGGCCAAGAGAGCTGTCAGGGCCTGCAATCCTCTTACCACTTCAAGACAGCCAAAACATGGTCACCTTCTTCACTACTGGGTAAGAGGTAATGGGGAGGGAGCAACAGCAACCACACACCCCACTTCTGGGCCTGTGTGGGGAGGCAGTGTGAGCCTGAGGAGCTGTACTCAGCATTCATTGTGCAATCCTCTTCTCTGGCTTCCATTCTGTTTTAGAGGGAAGAAAACTTGGAGGCAATGTGGAGGTTTGCCTCTCACATTCAGTTGCGGGACTGATCAGGACTGCAGAGCCAGGTGCTCACAACTCTTGGTTGATTTGTTCAGCTGCCAGATTAGATCTGAGGCTGGCGCTCAGCCTAGGCTCTGTACAACACAAGGAGTGGTCAGCCACATTTTTCTCAAGCACTAAAACAGGGAAGAGGCTGTAAGATCCCTAAGCAGCTGTTGGCTAGCAGCTGGCCCTTCCCCATGGTGCTCTTCATCAGGCACAAAACAATGTGTAGGCCCTCCCTTTCCTTATTTCTCTATTTCTTAAGTCTTGTGCTCCTTACTAGAACCAAGAAATACTGGTACTTTCCCTTGCAAGCACCCCAGATCTCCTGGGACGCTGAAGGCACATGGCACTACTATCCCTCTACTCCTTCATTCAGGAGCCTAGACATCTAATGAGAACTCTGCTCTCGCCCTTCCCATGAGCCTATCTTTGGATTAGTAGGTTACTTCTGTGTATACCAAATGACTTGAATATTTAGAAGTTAAAAGCAGGGTAGTATGTGTGATATGCCTTAAAATGCAGGGCAGGTTCTAAGATGGGAGTCCAAAGATCCACGTAAGCAGATGCATAGCTTTACTCCCCTCACCCCACCCCTAAAAGAAAAATACCCCTCATTCTGATGTTGATCTTAAAAAAGAAAAATGCCCCAAGCAAACAAAACCCACCACACTTATTACAGGACTAGAGAAAAAGCAACCAGACAGGGAAGATACAGGTAGCTTGTCTAAGGAGTTTACAGAATAAGCTCTATTTGACACTGAAAATCTCTATATCCTGGCAAATGTACCAAGGTTCCTAGGAAAGCAGAGTTAAGTACATCACTGCAGGCTCCCTCACAGAGAGAAACAAAGTGGATGGGAATGCAAGAGACTGACCAAGAGCCCACAGAATGAACAGGTATTCAGCACTAAAACCAGAAGAGTCAAGCCTAAAGGTAGTAGCTACAGTGGAAGCGGGATCTACACTCTAAGTAACATCGAAGAAGACCCGAGTTTGAGTGGAGGCTAAGAAATGCTACCCAAGAACAGACTAGAACGGCCTCTTGAGTGGGGAAAGCAATCTTGGGTGCCAAGACTCTAAGGAGAACAAAAGGAAGAAATGAAGAAGCAAAGATGATAGTGACTCTGAGTAAGTTAAAAATAGGTATTTCCAGCTGGGTGGTGGTACACGCCTTTAATCCCAGCACTCCAGAGGCAGAGGCAGATCTCTAGTTCAAGGCCAGCCTGATCTCCAGAGCGAGTTCCAGGACATGTAGGGCTACACAGAGGAACCCCATCCTCAAAAAGCCAGAAAAAGGGGGGGGGTAGGGGGTGATTCCTTCAACTTCACCTTTCCAGATGAACAGTAGAACAGAAACTGTGCTTTCAGCATGGAAGTCCCTTTGCAGATCTCTTCTTGGAGGTTCTCAATCTGCCACAATCTCTCTGTTCTTCCTGTAAGGCCCAGTGTGGGTATGAACCCTCAAATCAACACTCTTGCTGAGTGTATTCTTTCTTAAGAACATAACCCAAGTATTATTGTCTTCTGCTCCTTGCTTGCAGCTACCTCATGTTCCTGCCTCCATGACCTTCCCAAAATGAAAGATTGCACCTTCAAACTACCAGATATAAAGGAAACTACAGCGGGAGAACCAGAAGGGTCACTGGCAGGAAAACTATTCCATTAAGGAATTCGCACTTGAGGAGAGTACTTCCACTCATGCACAGTATGGCGTCGGTGCTTTCCCTGTTGCTGGAAATGAAGAGGAGAAAATATTCTTCATGAACATGCAAGACACTCAAGAGTCCAGTCTCGTCGTCACCTTGCAATGTATCTGAGGCTGGTCTAAAATTCCTAATGCTACTTCCACCTCCCAAGAGCTGAAAGACAGGCTCGCTCCATGAGTTCCAGCTTGGTGAACAGATACCCTCAGGAGATACAGCTCAGCACAGACTCCTCAGGGTGCCTGTTCTGACCCATGGAATCAATAGACAGGTTTAATTTTCTCTTGTTCTTTTCAAGAATTATTGAATGTTTCTAAAGAACCACATTCATTGTAAGAAGATCAAGTGAACTGAAGTCAAGGGCACTATTTTGGGGTCATGTATACTAATATGCTGTGAAGTACAGGTAGGGACTAAGTCTGTTTTCCAGCACAGTAATATACAAGAACCAAGTCTCCCATGCATCTAATGGCTGTGTGTATTCCTACAGAAGGACTGCCCATGTGTGACTGAGATCACAGTTGACTCCAGATGCTTTGTGTAGTGCTAGAATACTTCTGTTGAATTTTGAAGCTTCAAGTGCCAGATGATAACGTCAGCAGTAAGGCTCTGGTACCTTTAATAAGCTGCCCGCACTGAGGTTTATGAGGACAGAATCCAGGCTCAGTTCCTCACCAGCTCCTGAGAGTCAGGGCCTCACCCTTTCCCAACCCTTCCACCTATCCTAAGACAGAATCACGACACAGATTGCTAAAGAATAGAAAAGAAATCCCCAATTGTACGGGAGATAGTGACAGGTCCCAGAAGAGTAAAAACAAAAACCTTTCCAACAAGACGGATGGGGACAAAAGCAGCTCAGTAAAAAGATAAAGAAGGCACTGGATTGGAAAGCAGACTGCAGCAAAAGCTTTGCTTAAGCATTTAGTGCTCTACTGTGCAACTCTCAGTCAGTGGATCCTCAACCCACTGAAGAGATTAGGAAATTTGTAGCAAAAAAGGATAATCCATGAGGTATACACAACAGAATCTCCCAAATATTATCAAGGCTACAGAAAGACAACAGGGGTTAATGGGAAAGTCTTGGGCTAATTTTAAACAAGACAGCACTAGTAAGGACAGATAACTCTACACAAAAGAGTTGTGAATAAACCACATGTATGGTCAAATGCTAAACGAGTTAAGGACAGTCCATGCTTAACTTCCCAACACCAGTAAACCACCATGAGGTGGCACGGACATTTCTGACACATAGTAATTACTCCAATATTTGTAGGAATTAGAAAACGGTTATAGCCAGGACAGTGGTTAGAATAATCTATTCAGTGGAGTGATTATTCTAGAGACAGAAAGGCCAATGGAAAGAAGGGAAGTCTGAGAAGGCCTGCAGCCTTCTGATTCTCATGATGTGAGGTAGAACATTCAGCATTAACACCATGGCTGATCATCACAGAAGACTAAATCCTGCTAATGGTGCCATAAAATGAATAC